AGATGAGCAGAATCAACTTTCTGGCGTAGGCTCTTGGGTAGTAACTTGTCACTCACATAGTAAAGCACACCCTGCTTTACCCTTCTTTTGAAGTGTAATGCTATAAACATAATTTTCAGATGAATTCAGCAAACAACGTGATTTTTACTGGATTTGATTAATGATTCTGTTCTGGTTTTATGTCCCATATATGCTACAATAGCAACAACTTGGTGTGTTCAGGCATATAGACATAGTTAAGACAGCCTGCGGAAGTGTGGGGAAGAAAAGTGATTTAAGTGATCGAACGTGGCATGGTTAAGGTACCAAACTAGCTGGTCTAAGCATCTCAGAAACATCTCTGTGGTTCCTAGAGAATGGTCAGTTCCCTGGACAAAACTGTCTTGTTGATGCGCAGGAATGCAGAAGAGCATCTCTGAACCCACAACATCTCAAACTCAGAAGCAGGTGGGCTACAGCAGCAGAAGACCGCTCTGGGTGCCACTCCTGTCAGCTAAGAAGTTCATACAGGCTCACTAGAATTGGACAATAGAAAATTGGAAAAACATCACCTGGTCTAATGAGTCTCAATTTCTGCTGCAGCATTTGGATGGTGGTGTCTGAATGTGGTCTAAACAACATGAAAGCATGGGTTTATCCTGTTTTATGTCAAAGATAAGACAGGTGGTAGAGGGGGCGATGTAATGTCTTTGTTGGGACACTTTCGACCCCTTAGTATCAACTGAGAAACACCACAGCCTACTGGAGCATGTAGCTGACCATGTACATCCCTTTATGACCACAATATCCATCTCCTGATGGCTATTTTCAGCAGGATGACCCATCATGACACAAAACTCAGATCATTTCAAACTGTTTACTTGGATATGACAATAAGTTCACCGTACTCAAATGGCCTCCACGGTCATCAGATCTCAGTACACTAAATCTTGGGATGTGGTGAAACAGGAGGTTCAGATCATAGATCTGCAGCAACTGTGTGATGCTGTCATGTCAGTATGGACCAAAATCTTAGGAATGTTTTCAGCACTTTGCAGAATCTATGGCATGAATAACTGAGGTAGTTCTGAAGTGAAAAAGGGGACCAACCCAGAGGACACGCCACCTGCTGGCCATTATAAAGAATGCAGGTTTAAGACCTATAAGTTACGTACGTCTTTAATGTCCAGTCCTATGTATCCTCACGGGGAGATCTGAGGACCAACAGAAATTACAATTTTATTTTGACTATATTACTCCCAACTTTCAACCATAACAGGCTATTTTTCTCTAAAATCTAAAAAAGGCCAAGAGGATGTGCAGAAGTCTATTATCCTCCCAGATTACTTGAGTTAGAAAAGCTGAAAGGTTAAAGGTTAGATTTTTGCCCAGTGGTGCCTAAAAACAGCCTAGCCCAGCTTAAATTCACTTTTAAAATCTTCATGTAGATTAATGTGGCTTTGATTAGATTTATAGTATCGAATGTAACAAGGAAATCAATCAGAATCTATTTTACAAGCAATCATTTCCTTAGAATATTTCTGTAGTGCTTCCACTGCTGATAACAGCAGATGAAACATGGTGTGTTTGTGTGCGCGGCCAGCTGAGCGCTTCACTGGAGCTGTGGTTCTTCTTTCTCGTCACAGGAAGCAGAGACCCCGCGCAGCGTGCTGGAGGAAATCGGACTGACATAAACATCATCTTCATCGCCATCCACACTCCCCCCATCAGCCAGCTACTCTGCTGTATGTAGCTGATAACAGTTCACCTTTCAACACGCACACACCAATATAATTTCCCTGTGCATCTGTGTAACACGACTCTGCCTTGTTTTCTACTGTTTTTAAAGACAAATGATGTAGCACTCTGTGTGTATCTCCTGCTGAGTTATTGATTTGTTTCAGTGTGATGACATTAACTGTTTACCGAGACACAAATCCAGCTTAATTAAGCTTCATGCTGCTTTCAAATCCACACCAGGACGCTGTGCTGAGTGAATTCCTGCTTGATTTTTTATTTATTTTTGGACGCTGATGCGATCTCTTTATTCAGTGTGAGGTGTTAGCAGTGTTCTGAATTTAAAATATGTTAGTTAAACCCAAAGAAGTGGCTGTAATACAAAGGCAAGTATTACATTAACAAAGCCAAAAAGTTTTGTTTTCTCTCATATCTGCATTGTGATAATCCTGAACTCAGTACAGCCAGTATATTTATACTTTAATGAATGAGACTTATTTGAATGGGCCAACCCACTTTGATCTCATGCGAGCCACACTAGTATGCCCACGGCTCCTTTGTGCTCGAATTAAACTAAAACCTTCACCACCAGGGGCAGCAGTTTCAGATGTGTGCCGCTGATTCGTTAACCTTAAATATTTCTTTGGCCTGTACTGGACCCCCGGCCGCATGTTTGACACCCCTGCTTTTTTGCATCTTAAACTGAAATTACTGTGAAATAATTTGAAAACAGAAAATATGTGAAATTAAGAATTTTCTCTCAGTTTACCAGCAACCCTCGCTCCTATATTTGGTTTCTAAATGATGTTCCAATTAATAACGGATATATTTGCATGCCACTGGAACTGAATTAATTTTTTTTATTTTTATTAATGTTTACAGTTTTTTCTTGATGTTTACTACTGTGATGATTATTTTGTTTTATTTTTATAAAAACATGTCACTGAATCTGTAGGTAACATTTTATAATAACCATCATATGCACACCGTAATTGGTACCTGATTGAACATTGATAGTGATTTAATGTTAACAAACAGTGAAATGATAATTAAGGATGTGGTTAATGGTTGGATGTTATAAATTTTAAACCACACAGTCAGAGCCCACAGCTTAATTAACTATCAATGTAGCGTTTAGTAGCAATGGCTAATATAAAGTGTTACCAAACATTCAACAACAGCCACAGTACAAATGAGGTGACATCGAGTTCCCAGAAGGTTTACGAGCCAGGATATGAACTCATTCAGCTCTTTGTTTCTTTACTGGCTAGTCACAGATTTTATCGTGATGTGATTTACAATGAATAGAAGCTATTACAGATGGTTTATAAAGTGAAGCACCTTCAGCATGAGAGCAGATTGTGTGTTACATTACCAGACATGTGTTTACATTATTATTGTCTGAAATGGACAAAAGAGGAAGGTTGTGTTTGTTAGTGTAGGTATTTCCTGTTCTTTAGTTCTCTGTTGTTGTCCACAAATATCTTTAAACCATGAGATTTACTTTCTTAATCAGTTAATCACAAACTTTATGTTATTGTGGCAACAGGGTGCACAGAGGATTAATGGGAGGTTGTGTGGAACAGCTGAAGGGACCAAAATAAAATTGAGATAAAGAGGCTCAGATTTTGGGTTTGTTAGGGAGATCTGTCCCATTCACATTAAAAGTATTCTTCTCATTTCCAGATAGAACATGATGAATAACACAGCTTTAAGTTCACACTCAGGATAACTGGCTTTGGTGTTATTTGATGGATGTAATCAGGACATTAGCTTAAAATCACTGACTCTGTCTCCAATCTGTAGTAAATAGTAGTTACTACAGTGCATGGTCTCATGTTCCCAATCCCATAAATATCGTTTTTTCATAATGTCACTGAATATAAACATACTGTATAATTATTAGTATAATTCTGACTGCCTGATTACATCTCTGCAGTTTTCATGAACTCATTCAGAAACATTTATAGCTGAAGTCGTCACTGCGTCCAGCAGAGGTTGAAACAGAGTAGTTATTTGGCTTCATGGTGGTGTTTACCTGTTTCGTGTTCTGAAGGTCTTTCTTTGAATGCAGGTAAGCATGTACTGTAGCTTACTGATGTTGTATTGCATATACTTCTTTTAAAAGATGTAATATTTGTCAGCACCAGTCCAGTGCTCGTGAAGAGCATTGTACTTAGAAAACTTGAACGTTAGAGCTCGTAAAGACACCTCCATCACTCCTGTGTTAGATTTGTGTGAAGTGCATCCAACAGGGGGTCTAGCGACATTGTGCTCCACCCATCTACACCCTGAGCTGAGGTCTCATCAGGACTACTCTGCTAAAACCGTTTCACTGTCTTTTGAGTATAAACGACTCTTCGGCCTGTGACAGCCACACACTGTACAGCATGTAAACTACCTATTTACTGTGACACTGCTTAAGTGACCATGCATTAAATAGCAATAGTGTCGTAAATGTACTGAAAATAATTTACAGCCGCTTGGATGAAAAAGCAAATGTTTCACACATTTAAAGTGGACCTGTTCTGCTGATTTCCCTTCTCTTTGACTCTGTTAGTGTCGCTTTGCATGATTCGCAGTTAAAAAAATAATCTGGGCCTAAATGTAGCCACTCAGTTCATCTCCTGAAGCTAGTCAAGCTGCTCCTGATTGGCTGCCCCTTGTAAACTTGTTTTACAGCAGGTGGGCGTGTCTATTAGGGATATCCAAAAAATAAGAAAAACTGCCTGAAACTAAATTTTTGGCTCAAAGAAATGACTTTTACATACATCCACCATCATTATAGTATAAGACAGATAATAAGGAAAAACATAATAGGTCCACTTTTTGACACACTGGGCACAGGACTGTACAAATATCATAAAGTGGTGTCTATTTTCTGCTCTGTGCAAGTTTGTTTTAATCCAAACGTCACAGCTTGTTTACACTTTGAACTACTCTTAAGCCTCTGGCTGTTTTCTATAACTTCACATGAGCATTTTTCATGTACAACTGATAGTGTGTGGTTTACAGTATATCGGCAGTGTGACTTATGGAGAACAGATGCTATTCCATACTGTGTATAAAGTGAATTATACAGCAGCTTCAGCGTGAGTGCCGAGCAGCCTGTGCGTGATGTGTTTACAGCTATCATTGTCTGAAATGGACAAAAAAAAGAAAGAGGAAGTTAATGTTTTGTTGTCAGGTTCAGCAATAAAGAGAGAGTATCACAAACAGCCGGGCTCCTCTCATTCATTCAAGTCTCACTCACACCACACAGCTTTTCAATGATGTCTGGAACTGCAGAAAAACATCTTTAATGTACAAAAATAAGGGGGGAAAAGTCCCAAAAAACATAAACAAGAGGAAGACTGCTTCGGACCGGCATGGTTTCACATTAAACAATGCATTCAAAAAACCTGCATGTTCACTCATCTGTTTAATAAATTTGGTGAAATACATGGAGTCCAAAGCCTGTAGGTATTTTATTAACAGCATTTAAAAAGCATGACAAACCAACAAATCATTTGTATGTATGAAAAAGGGTGGCTCAGTCGAGGATAAACTTTGAGAGTTATACTTCACTGGTTTCATGAAATTCTCCAGATCAAAACTAAAATCTCTGGTTTAATGAATTACAGAGAATCTTCACTGTTCATAGTCCGGTTTAATATATAATTTCTGCTAGAAATGTAGCTTCCACACAAGCCTGCTGTGCAAATGAAGCAGCGCTTGTATTCTTCCTTCAGTGTGTTGCTTGTTTTTTTGCCATAGCCTCACATAATATGTAAGATGAAAGACTGTATATAAATAATGGGCACAGCCACTGTGATGTCACATGTGACCCAAACTGGTTATCGTTAGTGTCTCAGCTTTTTAAAACCGAGGTACAATGGATCTGACTGTGAAACCCAAGAATGCTGTAAGCTCATTTGTTAATGACTTATCAATCACAACTTAGCCCCGCCCTGAAGCACATCCTGCTTTATTGTCCATAATCCATACAATAATTTATCAAATGAGCTTCACTTTGTGTTCAATAAAACATGAAACTACCGATTCAGGCTGTGAATTCATCACAAACATGTTTACGGAGATCATGGATTACAGGAGCTGAAGGCTGAGTTACCATAAACCTCTACACAACTGGAGGTCTTTCTGAAACAAGAGTCACCCCCTGCTGGCTGTTAAGAGAATGCAGGGTACAGCCACTTCCACACTGGCTCCACTTCAGTGCTCAGAAGTAGCGTCCATCTTTCATAGATTAAGTCCATTGCCGTAACTGGTAACAAAGCTCTATGCTTGACTGGCAGACTTTTACACCAGATGCACCAGGAAGCTTTTGCTTCCTGGTGCTTCAGAGTGAGCTAGATTACCGAGAAAATATCTTTATTAGCTTTAATCCTGATAACAAATCAGGCAAAGTAAAGAAAAAAAAAATACTGTAAACTTCTATTAATGTGAGACACATTGTCTTTGTAACATCCATTTTCTCTTCACATTTTGAATTAAACACGCATGAATGCAAACTTCCCAGCTCTTCATCTGGGGAGCGCATGATTGCACAGAGAGCTGTTGGAAGACCGAAGATGTAAGAAATCACCAAAGCGCCTCTGAAGGTGTCGCTCATTACTCTAACTCTCCTCCCTCAGCATCTCTTCGATCTCCTTGTCCCAGTTATCATCGTGGGTTTCGCTGTCAGCCAACACGTCGTACTCCTGAAGTTCTTCCTGCAGCTCTCTCTCCCAGTCTGGCATCTCCTCTGAAAACAAACAAAGAAACAAACAAAAAAAACCACACTGAGCTCACATACACACACACAGTACAATGTCCCAGTTTAACCACAGCACTCACCCTGCTCTGGATTTAGGTTTTCCCTCTTGTCCAGAACCAGCTCTCGCATCTCTTTGCACAGGTCGTCCTTGTTGATCTCACAGGAGTCAAAAGTATCACTTACAAATTCAGACAGCTGCAGACTGGTGGAGAGCTCTTCTTCATCCTTTCATAACGCAAACAGAAGCTCAGATTCAGCTTTAAAATCTGCTTTATAATGACCTTTCTGCAGCAATAATAAATGATAAAACTATTACCTTTAATTAGTTAACTTTTTACCATCAAACAATGAAATGACAGCGTTTGCAAAACCTCATAAATGATTAAGGGTCGCAGAGTAGTGTGTGTATAAATATTATCTAGATCAGATGGCGGTGGTGTAAATCACATAACTGAACCTGGAGGTCATTCTTTGTGTCCTGATTCGCTCTCTGTACAGTTGTTTTTTCCCCACCAGCTGACTGGTTAAATTCAGGCACCAAAACCAACAAAAAGATGAAAAGTTTGTGTTTTCGGTTCAAATAAAGTTATGAGAGTGAGCAGTAGCAGTTAAATATTTATCACAAAACCACAAAAACAGCCGATAATCATTAAAAAATAAATACCCCTTATAAAACACGTGCCAATCAGAATTAACCTGAAGAATCTCTTGTCAAAATAATAAAAAATTCAATATTAATGACCAGCAAATATTAACAGTAAAATAATCCTTTACTGTATCCTTTATAAGACTATTAAGTTGTCATTTATAACACGTAGGTATCATAGCATGCTGCTGAGGTTTGTTTTGTTTTGTTTCATTAACCACTGATAAGAAAAACTCACTCCGTGTCACTAAAATCACAAACATGAAGAAAAGTAAAACATTTTAAATTTGTTTTTTTTAAATCCTCTGATAACTGAGATATGTAAGAAAAGCTTTCGAAAACCAGAAACCACATATTCTGCCAGCCTTTGTTTAGGATTGTTTAGATCTCAGAGGTTAAAAACAGGTAATCTTACCTCACTTGATTTTGGTTGGAGGCTGCTGGCTTTTGATTTAACTGCATCTACAAAAATAAATAAATAAATAAATAAATAAATAAATGAAATGTCATCATTGTGAAAAGGTATTTAAGGGAAAAATGTGATATTCAAAATGTTCTAATACTAATAACATTTTTTTTAAATCCCACTGCTATCAGGACAACAAGAAAAGATAAATTAGTTTTCACACTATATGTTCATACAAAAGCATGCATCAGTCTGCAGGAGGGTGGAGCTAGATCCTACTGATCAAAATGCTGCTTCTGGAATCACATCATTACCTGGAGCCGAAGAGCATGCCTTTTCAAACCTAATGGTGCTTTTAACGTTGCCTTTAAGCACAGACTGTATATAAAAGATGAGCTGCCGGGTCTGAAAATTCAAACCAACCCCAAAATGTCTTAAACCTGAATGCTCTCCAATGACCAGCAGAGGGCGACGCCTGTGGTTGCAAGTCAGGATGTATAAAAGTCTAGGGCCGAAAAGACCCTCTGCTTCTTTATTCGAAAATCCAATTAGTTTGTGGTCTCACTCTAAAGCATTTGATTTCTTCGAGAACACAACTGAGCTGTCTCGGATTTACAAGTTGACTATGTATGAGAGTATTGTCTATGACGTCCTCTTCATTGTGACATCTACCTTTTAAAAAGCAATGACGAAAACACTCAGCCTTTAAAAACAGGACTTCTTAAAACATTTCCCCATCTTATGGACGCAGTCTAAGCCACGAGCGTCAACCATATCGTTGATGGAACAGAAACGGAACGTTAAATCGTCTAATCCTGCTCATGAAAACTTTACAAACTATGAACACTGAAAATAAATAAATAAGTACAATTATTCAAAACACTGCAACTCTTGGTGTTTTAAGAACATTACTACACAAAAAGCATGTTAAGATCTAAATGTTACGATCTAGTAGCACACGGATGTTTTAGTTAAGTTACAAAATAATTCACATGTGAATATTTTGTGGCTTTATAGATGTGCAGTTGATGTAATGAGATATACTGATGGGATCGCACTTTTTTTCCTTCTGACGTCTCCGTCTGTTTGCCATTTTTAATGGATTGTTCACTGAATACATTTTTACTTGTACCTTTTCAAAAGGAAATTTTTTTACTGACTTTTTATGTTGCTGTGCAGCGTTTTTGCTCATTCAATCCACTTAAGATCAAACTGGACTGTATGTGGCCCATTAAATAAAAACGTGTTTCACTCTATGCTCAGAAAGGTCCAGAAGTTAACTCACTTTTTGCTTTATCGCACAATAAACCTGCACTCTCTGTTCTAACTAGAAATGCTATCAGTCAAAATCAAAACAAATCTTCCTTGAATACTAAGATAAAGAATTACACAAATACTTACAGTCATATTTGTACATTCTTACATTTTATCAATTTTCATATCATAGCTTTAAAAATCAACATCAGTATCTAATGCAGAGGTTTTACAGGAGAGAGCAGACTGTACCGTTTTGATGAGTATCTTTGCAAGGGTAGGTTTTCTTCACATCAATCCACTCAGCCGCCTGTTGGGCTGCGAGAGCTGTGAGCTGAGCCGACTGTTTTATCAAAGACACGCGGTAGAAGTAATTCTTCCAAAAGACTTCCTCTTTCACCCTGAGGAGAACAGCATGGAGGAAAACGCAGTCACCCCTGAGGGATGCAGGGAGGCTCACATTGAAAACACAGCAGTTAACGCAGTTAACTTATGACACACTCACTGTTTGGGGACCAGATGGAAGCGCATCTTCCTCAGGAGCTCGTCTTCCTCTAGCATAACCATGGCGACTGAATACATTTGGTCAAAGTCAAAGTAAAACTGCACCCCAGCAGGGGGGTCACGCAAAAAATTTCTTTTATCCTGAAACAATGCAGTAAAGTTACAGTGAGGCATAATTAAGTAACTTTCTATTATAAATGAAATGCTTTTTAAAGATATTTACAGCTGAGAGAGCTAATATCTGTTCCTGTATGGCATCCTCTTCATTATAACCCACCCATGGAGGCACAGCAGCACCTACAAGCGGCAAAAAGCAGCAGAGATGTTCTGAGGTGTTCTGAAAATATTTTTCAGCTACAATTAAATGTAAGCTTTAATTAATGATTAAAAACCGATATACAGTTTGGTCCACATGTTTGTGGACAAAAACGCATTTTCTGTGCATCAGCACTGTTGATTTTAAATCAAACATCTACATCAATCAAAAGAGCTTTTGTTACATTTCATGTCATAAGTACACAACAGAAGTACTCACCATACTCTTTAGCTCTTTTCTCCTGAACAAACCTTTCTTGTTCCTTCTGGAAATCACCCAAAATGGTCTAAGGGAAGAAGAACAAACCTTCAAACATTCCAAACTTACCCTAAATAGTAAAAACTTGATATCAGCCTCAGACAATAGATGAAACTTTTCACCTTATCAATAATTCCACTGATTTTCCTCTCCTCCACGCTCTTCTTTAAGGTTTGAGCTGTTTCTACTACGGACTCAGATAATTTTTTTGAGGCGCTGCTGGCAAAATTATAAATGTAACCTGTAAAGAAGCCAGAAAAACCCACATTACTGTGTTGCATAGTTGCAATTAATCAACAAATGGAGAAAATAATCAGCAGAATAATACATTATCAAAAATAATCATAAGTGAAAGTTGCATTTACAAAAGAATCCAAAATGAGCATCATCTAAACAAACTACAAGAGGTGCAATTTTAAAACATAAGTAATTTCAGTTAACTATAATGAAAGTCAAATCTGATAGTGGATGACTATAAGGCAGCTATCATCACAAATTGATTTGTTTGTATTGTAATCAATGATTTCTCCCCAAAGCTCAAATCGTGCTAAAAACCTATAAAAACTGACCACAAAACCAAAACAATAAGAAACACAACAACAATATGTGGACTGCAGCGGACTCACCACTGAAACCTTTTGCTTTCTGGAGAAGCTGAGCATCTGTCCCAGCATCTCTGCCCTGCTGGTCGCTCGGTTTGTTTATTTCACTAAAGCGTTTTTCTTCGTTAGCATCAGCAGGCTCTTCTGTAACTTGGCCGCTTTCTTTCTCTGCTCCAAGCCAGCTTGACCAGTTCTTAAACATACTTTATGTATTTAGTCTAAATAGATTAAAATAAGTTATTTAACATGCTCTAACTATGCCTTTTAAACTCTAAAGTTTAGTTTTCCGATAGTTTAAAACTTATGTGATGGCTACTCGTCAACTTTCACCTCTTACCCACTTCCGCGAATCGTTGTCCCATCTAGTTTGAGCTAACCGACCATCCGTAGTTGTGGTTGTCATGGAAAGGAACGCTCTGAGTGGATTCCGCCTTCGTTTCATTCTCCAACGTTTCAGAAAATTATAAGTTTCTATCGGACTTTTATTCCTCGTGATTGTATAAAGTCACCGACAGAGAGACGAAAAACAACATCTTTGCAACGTGATAGCTGTAGCAGTAGCGCACAGACAAATGAGACGATCGGAGGTTTATATTCTCTTTAAGTCTTTTATTCATTACCAAACGGCTAGGTGGTGAGGTAGCAAAACTAGCATTATAGTTGCAGCAGCTGTTGCTGTATTGTAAAAACTGATAACGAAAATTTTAGTGCACATAATAACCATACAGCAGCTCATAATATTCAGAGTTCATTCATGTGTGCTTTATTTATTTACTTTTTTATTTACTTAATGGCTCTGAACCAAAATATAATATGAATGCATGATATTCACAAGGATAGCTACACTAGCAACTCTGCATTTTTGGAATAAGAAGCATGACAGTAAAATTAAGCGTATGAGAAAATAGCCCAATTACGTGGCTAATATTTGGGGGTTTTTTTTGCCTGTGTACATATTTAAACAATAATTTGAATGTGTTTAAAGGTACAGTAATGAATTTTTGAGGATATGAAATAGAAAAAAATATTGTACTCATAAATATACATTGATTAGTGTTTTTCTTTTTGTTTGTTTGTTTTTTAATTGCGTCTTCCACACTTTTAAGAGGCACACGTTTTAAAAGTTTTATTAGTTTTACAAATAATTAAGATTATTTCATCAAAGATTGTAAAGGAAAAATGTACACTGGGATTAACTAATAAACAAAGCTAACATAGCTAACACATTTGAATATTAATTGCATTTGAAGAACTTAATAGAAAAGTTAAAATTTTATTTGGAATAACGTGGTATTAGTTTAGTTATGCTAAAACAAAGACAGTATTAAAAAAACAGAGCAATGATTGTGAGACAGATTGAACATTGCCTACATTTTAAAACTGATCTCACAGCTACAACAAAATAAGAAAAAAAAACTCAAATAAATTAATTATTGTAAAAGTAGAACAACAACAGTTTATCACACCATCCACAACTGCATCCAGTTGCACACTGCTTCTCACTCTTCCGCTCTGCTTCTTAGGCCTGAAACCCATTAATCAGTGCTATTAACGAGTTTGTAGATAATGAGATGCTGACCAGATCAGACATCAGCAGATATCAGCAGAGCGCACGTGAAGTCTGGGTATCAAAATCTTTGAGTAGCTCTCATGGATTGAACCACTGTCAGGGATGCAGCATTGATGTTCTGCATAAAAAATTTCAAATTCTGATTCATCTAACCACACAGCAGTTTCTAAGTTACCTTGGTCTATTCTAAACTAAATTAGACCCATAGAAAATGACAGTATTGCTGGATGATGTTCACATATGGAGCTTTCACCTTTGGTTTTGGATGGTACAGTGAACTCTGTTATAATACAGTTATTTCTGGAAGTGGTCTTTAGCCTTGTAGCTTGCACAGATGTACTGTAGATCATGAGATCTACAATACAAAGTCTTCACAGTTTATACTGAGGTACAGTATTTTGAAATTAATCTGTAATTTGTAGATGCATTTTTTTGCAGACTGGTGAAACTCTGCCCATCTTTACTTCTGAGAACCTGTGCATCTTTAAGCTGCTGTTTTTATATGCAATCATGGTACTGAACTGCTGACAGTCTGATTAGTTATGAAATGTTACTCCAGCTGTTTTATTTTAGTACTTCTTACTTTTCCAGAGTTGTTTTGCACCTTTCCCAACTTCTTTGACATGTGCTGCTGCACATTAGCTAATAAAATAATTTTAATTCTGTCTCTGTCCATGATTAAAACCCAAAAAATAGGTTATTTATTTGGCTAAATAAAGTGGGAAAGTAGAAATATAGGTATAGTTACTACGTAACGTGTTTGTCAGTTTTTATTTAATATTATTACTAAAATTAGCCGTTTTAGATTACACTTGCTTGTTCTTCCCGCCTTTCCTTTTGGCTAACGGTAGGTGTCGCGCTTGCGCTGCAGCTTTGTTCTGCCACACTTGTTATCCCTGCAGTCCATGGATGGAGCTAGTTTAGCTTAGCTGATTTAACCTCTCCCGAGTGTGTCAGTGTGTCGTTCTCGGTTTGTAACATGAAGTAGGAGGATACGGCTGGAGCTGAAGCGTTTGAAACAGCGTAAGGTCGCCACTTCGTTTAAGAGTTAGCGTACGATTTATTTTTTAAAAAGTTGTTCCTTTTAAAATAAAACCAGTTAAAAAAGATGAAGTATGTGTAACGTAAACCTGGGATATTACTCCGTGCCAACCCGACGAAGCTTTCCTGTTCACCGGTTCATCCAAAACTTGGATTCTCAGGTAAGGTCCGCCGTTTCAGAGCGACTTTTGTAATATTTTTCCCAAAATAGCTGCGCACCTCATGGAGTAGGTGACTTTCTTTGATTTTGGTGGTGTGGGACGAAGTTTGTGTTGCCTATGTGAGCGACCAGGTCGGTGTTACTCGGCTTATTTGGTGGTTGAGCCGAGGATGGTTTCCATTGTGCTGCTGGTGCGTTTAATTCTCTCGCATGTAAGAGCATTAAGTTTAAATCACCCTGTCTGCAGTTTGACAACAACAGGTGTTACAGGTTTCCTGCTTTAGTCTCGCAGAGCTCCGTACAGATGGACGTAGAAGATATTTTATGACTTAAAGAAGTTAATAAATGAAAGTCTGCATGTTCGTGCTAGGTTCCTTTCAAAATAAGAGCCCTAAATCCAATGTTCTGTCACTGTAACCAGAGTCCGTGTTATTTTTCAGGCGTTTTTATTTAGTTTTAAATATGTTTTATTTCTTATAGTTCCGCTCAGTTCAGCTTCCAAAGTGTTTTTACTTTCCCAGTTTACCTTTTATTTCTTAATTTGTTTACTGTCTCGTCACTTTTTTATATAATCTAATCTGCACTGTGGCTCATTTCATATAAAATCAATTTATGTTATTTTGTTCAGTAATTTTAGTATGTTAAATAAAGTTTTGTCTTCATTTCCTGAATTTTTTCAGAATTGGAGTGCCTCGAAGTACATACGGGTGGGTTGAAATGTAGTTTTTTCAAGCATTTTTAAACCCTCACAAGTTCATATCAACGGGAGATATCTACATAAGTTTTTCATGGCTGAAAAACACTTTATGGTCTGTCACAAAGTACTGCGAAGTCAATCAAAAGCCAAAATCTTTGTTTGGGCCATTTTTTTTTTCTATAATCAGCTCTGAGCATCATTATCATGGGATATAACAGAGTTTCAATAGCAGCTGTATCAATTTAATGTCTGTGAAACAGAGTAACAGAAACAGTCACTGGCACTCTGGAACCTTTGCCTGTCTCCTGATGATTCACTGGAGGAAAACTTCAAAAACTGCAAATTTTTGGGTAGACTTTTATATGACATATCTGCATATGGGATAGGTGGCTGGTGAAAAAATGTTACATTATTTCAAAGGTTCCCTTTTTTTTTTTTAACCTACATTTTGATACCAGGCCCATCTTTTAGTCAGGATGTGTTCTGTGCTAAAAGACTTTTTCAATATGGTCAACACTCAGGAATTTGGAGGACAGAAGGAATCCTGGTTAGAAGTTGAGCCGGTGTTGCAGCAGCCAAAACATTAAATATAACATGCCGCCAAATAGCTCAAATAAAGTACAAAACTTGACAAGACAAGGTAGCTCAGTAAGGTAAAAATAAACAAAATAAAGGAGTTTTATAACATTTTTAAAAAGTAAAACAAAGAAATGAGCTCTGTTTAAAAAAAAAAAAAAATTAACAAATAATTGCCAAGTAAAAAGCTCAATAGAGGGACTTCAGTTAGTAAAAAATATCAACAAAATGCAATACAGGTATTGTGGTATACGCCAGGAAGATTTATACTGATGTATCAATAGCCATGGCATCATGTATGTTGTCTCATATGAAAACTGGAGATGAACTGGTGTTTATGAAGTGCTTTTCTAGTCCTACGGATCTTCAAAATGCCTCAAACTAAAAGATAGCATTTTATTCTATGACCTTTAGGCCCTTTATTCACCTCAAGAACTTATGTCTTTTGAAGGAAGATATGAATCCTATGAGGCGTATAGTGTTTGTAGTAAGTGTCTGTATGGCTGTGGTAGTTTTTGTGTGATCTTGGTGACAAACTGCATCTTGGTGGTTACATAGCTCTTAATTTACAGTGAAACATCTTATCAACCAGTCTAATTCAGAGTCTTTAAGTTTTTCCAGCCACTGGTATGTGACACATTATTAATAAAAAGTCAGTAGTTTATTTTTTAGCCAGTGGAAGAGATGCAGAAAGTGATGAGTTCATTGAGTTGATTTCAATGGGAGTTACAGCTTTGTGTCATCAGCATATCACTGGAACAAACTGTGCTAAAATGGTATGCGTTAGAAATAGACTGGACCAAACAATAAGCCTTATGGAAACAGTCCCCTGTGGTAAACTATTATTTTAGAACGGTACCCATTATGATATATTGACTGGATATCTATCTCTCCTTTTTTTTTTTTTTTACTTTTATAGCAGTACAATGGATGCTGAAGGATATAAAAATGATCTGCGCTGTACAGAAACGGAGAGCTTTTGGCATGTGGTGCAGAAATCAGGAGATCTGGATCAGAGGAGCAGAGACTGTGAGAGCTTCAAGCTGGTGGAAGTATTTCTGTCAGGAGGTGCCCCGTGGGGGTTCACGCTCAGAGGGGGACTTGAACACCGGGAGCCACTGCTCATAACCAAGGTAAATATTTTCATTTAGTCTTTTTATAGTAAACACAGGTAAGAGTTAAAGTGCTGAGGTTGTGAGTCAGAGAGCAGGATCTAATGCTTTTTTTAAAAATTTAATCAAGCTTTTGAATTTCATCTTTTTAAATGTTTTTTTTTATTTTTTATTCAGACAGTGATGCCATGCTCTGATTTTTCATAGGGATGTAGAGGTCAAAGTTTTAGTCTGATGTATTGCTCAATTTTGATTTAAGGACTTTAAAGAAATGTTATAAATGATTATATTTAGTGGTTTGGTAAATTTTCAATAGCTGTCATAGATCACCCATGGACAAAATACAACAAATTGACGATCTCAATTGGGCTGCTGATGTCCTCAAACAAAACAACCTCCCCGCTTCAAAAAAAACTAAACAAAAAAACAATCACAATCAATAAAAAGTGTAGCTTGAGGGCACTGACCACGTGCCATACGGCTGAGAGCGGCCGCTCCGGCTTCAAGTCCGACCCAGGGGGCCTTTGCATGTCTCTCTCTCTCTCTCTCTTGCTCTCTCTCTCTCTCTCTATTTAAAACAACATTTTTTTAAAAAGTGTACCTTGGACAGGAACAGTGTGCACCTGCATTAAAAAACAGAGCAAATATCAGCTGATTCTTCACTGAGCCTCTCATCCCTCGGATGGACTCAAGCTCCATCATCTTGGGCTATGGTTTGCCTCAGAGAGCTTTGGGCAGCAGCTCACAGCAGAATAAGGCTGACCGTCACCAGCTGCAGTTCAAGACGGTGGAGTTAGTTCGTCCAATCACAGGATGAGGGTAACAGCGACCAGCCTGCTAAAACAGGAAAATGAGATGGGAAGGGTCGGTGCGCACTGTGTGGTGTTGACTGAACTTTAAAACGAAGAGAATGTGGATTGTCCTTTTAATAGAAGGAAAAACCGCTAACAATGTGTATTATGTTATTCAGTGTGGTGCTTGTTGATTACTAAATCAAAATCAGTCTGCCCCTCTGAAGAAGGATGTTGCCCATCCCTGGTACAGACTTCATTCATACATGTGTTTTCATAATTTTTTTTTTTCAGTTTCTTGTGTAATATTTCAGTGTGAGCTGCTGTTATTTGACTAAAGTCAGCATTTTAAATCCCCGAAACCTAAACATTAAACAGGTCAAGCACCATATCTCATTTGCTATGTGGGTGTTTACGTGAGCTGCAGTTTGCGTACAGCACCCAGCAGGAGGAGAGTGTGTAACCACAGAGCCTGCCAGTCAGCTCTCAGACCTCAATGAACCCTCACTGTAAGCTCATTTCTCTGTTGACTGTGTAATGATTGACAACAAAAGACCTTGCTAGTTATTTGACTCTGTAAAATACCAGCTGCTGTTTGTTGGGAGCTGTGGCACTGCTTGGACTTAGTTTGCCATTCCTGTGTTGACGTTCCAAAGTCCATCCCAGATGGATGAAACTCCACCACAGGACACTTAGGACCACTGCCACCCCGCAAACGTGATTGAAATGACTCGCATCCTAACTGTTTACGAGCTATCCATTTCATGGTATGCTGTAGTTTTTTGGTTTGTTGGTGTCAGTATTTATTACTAATGTTCTGGCCCTGAACATCATAATAAGGACCAACAGAAGCGGACCTGTTTGGATCAGATGGTGAGATGTTAACTCTTTACTCGCAGCTTTTGATTTGTAAAATATTTAATTGATTTTTTTCAGACTCTTTCCTAGTTGGTGTAATTTTTCTTAATAATCTCATAAGTGAATTAGTCATGGCTAGGATTTAACAGAGTTTAGTTAGCTGTCACTTAGCCTCTGGTCAGTGTTATTATATCTCACCTGGATATTTGCTTTCTCTTACTTTTGTGCTGGGGTAGATTTCATTTGGAGGAAAGCTTGTGGTGCCAGGATCTGGGGAGGAATGCTGCTTTGTTTGATTTTCTAAATGTAGTGAATTATCCATGACAGTTCGAAGCCTACTGGAATGGCATGATGGGATGAATTAAATCGGGGTTAGTGATTTGTGCTCTTTTGGAGTGGCTCTCAGATTATAAGCAGTGATTTATGAAGGTGGGTTGGTGAATTATTTGGGTTAACTAGACGATGATGCAACCAAACCTCGTGTTCTTTCTGATTGATAGGAGGACAAAATTAAGAGCATTTCTCCTTTTTGCCCAAACAATGACACACGTAGGTGAAAGTGCAGATTAGTTGGAGGGTAAGCCTTTGAACATGGTAAACAAAAACTAATAAAACAAGTCATGTAAAAATGCCTTAGTTGGTAAAGAAACACAATCTAACTTAAGTTAAACAATAATATGTATTAAAATGGTAAGAGAGGAATTCTCTTTAGTTTTAGTCTTTTTGGACATGTGTCAACAAAAACATCACAATCCTTTGTTGGCTGTTTTTGTGCCTTCATGTGCAAGAGTGGCACATGTGAGCTAGAATGAACTCTTAATAGTTGTTCAATTTGAAGAAAAGTTAGACTAGTGGTGTGCTGCTAGGCCATGTTCAGCTACATTTGTAGTACACTATGCTGAAACCCTGCCATCGTGATGTTGTTTGCACTTATACTCAAGGCTGGTGTGTTTGCATTGCTCTGCTATCACAAGTGAAACTGATCATGTTTAACTTGAAGCTGCTAAATGTTGAACAAGTGTTATGTTTACTGACACAGTGGAAAAGAGGACACTTTAAAACCAGCCAACTCCATACACGGATTGTTAGTTATGAAAATTCACATTATCCCATTATCTTCTTTGTCCTCATCAAAATACTGTGTTTATACTGCATATTGTTAGGGTCTGTGTCATGATTACATCTCTTCATATTTCTGGGAAAGTACCCGTCAGGCTGTGTCATAGATACAGTCGCGCTGTATCAGAACTCAAGCATGACAATGCAGGAACTTCACACCTTTGGTAGTTTCCTGTACTTCACCCACTTTTCACTTTCCAGTATCCAATTTGACATTCAGCCCCAGTCAACCCTGTGAGGTCTAAAACTTCATCAGTGATGACACAAACCCTCACCTTGTTTTTTCCCCTTTTAGGGAAAAAGCATTTGAATAGTTTTTGATGTGTTCCAGTTAGAATGATAATTTTGTTTTGTTTCCCAAGTCTTCTGAGAACAGTTTTTTTTAAAACAAAGTACATGTTTCGATAGCAGAGAGTTAAGCTTGGGGTTATCAGTGATGACAGCCTGGACCTTATTATGTTAAAGGGTTAAATTCAATTCGCCATTGAAGTAGAACTAACCTACAGCCATCTCAGTCTTATAGTGTTTGCTTGTAGCTCATATTTTTGAGTGAAAATTAATTTGATTTGAGATTTCTCCAGTAACGTGATCTGCTTGGATTACGATCCAAGCAGACAGATGCCAAATAAGGGCCCTGATGGCAGCACATCATAAAGGGAGCGGGGATATATTCCAGGCTGAAGGCTGCACCTTACAAATTACCACATCCAACCATATTCGCTCCATTGTTAAAAGGTTGGATGAAGTACAACTGAGAATAACATTGCAAAGTATGATTGTATGGTGTATTCCAGACCTAGAATACATCATGGTTAGGTCCTGGCCTTTCTATCATCTCAAGGGATAATTGCAGTCTAAATAACACTGCAAACTAATGCTATGTTAGTACATGAAATGCTACACTTTGCCATTAGCAAATATCAGAACTTGCATCCAGAAGAAGTTTTCACTGTCACCATGGACTTTAACCAAGCTAACACCTTTTCGTTAATTTCACCGGAGTGTCAAGCGTCATACAAGGCGCAAGAATGTACTGGATTGTGTTTACACAAATCTAAACAATGCATTCAGGGCTTTACGCTGTTCCACACTGGAGATATTTCTTTGCTAATGCTACCTGAAAATAAACCAGTAATCACCGCAATAGCTCCAGACTTCCAAGTCATTAGCAAACCTCCACTCTGCTCAGCTGTTTTGTCCTATAAGAGGCAGAAAATAGATGGATAGATGCCTTTTATCAGTACACAGAGACTGTCACAGCAATCAAGGCAATTTCTAACTAGAAACGTTGGCTTATCTCGGTCTGGTGACGCATGAGTTATTCTCTAGTGAGTGTTGACGTAAAGCATGGCATTAAACAGAAAAATGTAACCGTACCTCCAGGAACCCTCTACAGAATTTCAGGTTACTCAAACACATCTCCCACTATCACCATGAGCACAGGCCTTCCCCAGGAGGTCTAGGTTGAGCCTTCTTCTGTATTCACTCTTTATCCATAATCTTTACTGTCAAACAAGATGACAGAACAGATGACCCAAAAGACATTGGTTTATCTCCAACAATAAGAATACACACAGGCGAGAGGTAATGAACATGGCAGCTCCAGTAGCAGTCTTATGCTCAACAGCAAGACAGAGGAGGCCGTGGCAGATTTCAGAAAGAAAAAAAATGCCCTGAGTCCAGTGACCATAAACGATTGTGGAGAGAATCCACTTTTTGCGAAGGCTAACCAAGGATTGCCTACCCAGGTTCATTGTTTCTGCACTGCAGTGCTTTGACAATAAAGGTTATCCTTGAATCTTGAGTTTTATTGCTATATTAATGTGAGAGTCAGTTTCAGCCAGTTCACAGGGAAGTTGATTGATGTAAATGGCATCACTGACCTAACCCAATATGAAAAAACAAAGAAAAATACTGACATTGTGCCATCAAGGCTTCGGTCTTAATAAACTACACCTCTCTTTACAGTTCATAGTTTTTCCTCTTAGTTTTGGTTTCTAATAGGTCCATGACTTTTTGTGAAATCCAGTTTCAGTGTGAGTAATGAGCATTAAGCACCTAATTTGGTTTTGGCAAGTATGTCTTTCATGTATCAACCAAAAGGGCATAGTCTCCCTATTTGTCTGCTTAAATCAGTACTTTTGTTGGCTCTTTTTCTCTTAGGTCCCTTCAGTTAAATATTTTATTGTAAATGGGCCCAGAGTTTGATGACAGGTTCAGGCTACTGGTTAAAAATATCCTGGATCTAATTAA